GGAAAGCGGAGTGATTGCGCTAATAACAGACAAACGAGGCGTATTAGCAGCCGAAAGCAGGAACGGCGAAAAGAAAAACACAGACGCTATTCTTCACGGTGGTTCGCGAGCACGAAGGGATGGCTTTTGAGCGGGCGTGCTCGCGTGACAAACAGCAAATCGATCAGAGGCGGAAGCGCCGCGTATTACGGCTTTCACGAATCGCGTCACGATCGACAACAGCGTCGTGATCCAACTTTGATCTTGTTTCGGGATTTTGAAATTGGAACTCTCGGCCAGATAACACGTACGATCTCCGGCTGGCGGTTAATGCAGTAATACCCGACAGGTTACGGATTTATCTGGATCAGCTCATATACGTGCGCTTATACGTGCGCGGCTATATTGCGACACTAATAACACAGCCGTGGAACGTGGCGCCTATGAGCCATGAGAATAATCAGCGCAGACGTACTGGTATATCGCGAGTACGCTCGCCGATGTCGTTTCTTCTATCTGTCTCTTTCTCTATTCCTGCCTGTCTCTCTATATCATGGTCTCTCACTTAATGCAGGTCTCTTTGTCATCGTCGTCGTCGTCATCATCATCGCTCGTCCGCATCATACCTCCATGTATCAGCCATTTGTCACGAAATATTATGCACCGCGCGGCCACGCGTACTCGACTGGCATAAGGAAGGCCGATAGATACTCGAGTTTGGATATTACTCGTGTTTTATCATCTCGCGCGGTCCACCGAGTTCGACTTAACTCCGATCACGCCCCTGAGCTCCGGACGCGAAGAGGGTGAAGGAGGGGGGGGGGAGAGAGAGTTAGAAAATCGTTCGGCTGACTCTTGGTTCTAATGTGCGATTTACTGGCGGACCATGCGGAACCGTAGATTATAGTTAATATCCCAGAATCGAACTTGGATGATAAAGGAACGGGCGTTTATGTGACGAAAGAGAAAGAGAGAGAGAGAGAGAGAGAGAGAGAGAGAGAGAGAGAAAGAAAGTGCATTAGTTCTCTCGGCGCTCCCTTTACAGCCGCTTGGACGCGAGCACGTGGTAATCCTCGATCGAGATCTCCCAATTTTGAGATCTACTCGTCTCCGATTTCATATAGCGTAATTATTGAATGAATACAAAATTTTGACCGACAGAAAAATGTAAACTAAGTAATTTTATTAAGGGAGAAATTTTACATGCGGAGCAGCAGGCGGCCGTTTTCAAAGTTTTTTTACGAATTTTTTTAACAGAAATAATAGGATCGATGGATTTGAAATATTTACGGTGTATTCATTAATGTTCAAAGTATAAAATGAATTTGTTGCTATCTATACGGAAAGTACACATAAAACTTTAAACATGTTTATCTGGAAACACCATTTTCTTAAACTGTCGATATGATTATGCAAAAATTACTGAACTGAATAACTTGTAATTTTTATACAATATATAGTAGACATGTAGTTTTCCTAACTTGAACACAATTATATTTTATTTTATTCACTTTTTTAAATGTGATTATAAGTTGAAAAAGTTTCATTTTCGATATTTTTTTTCTGTACAGTCATTATTTTTTCAAACCTGGCTTCACTGCCTTCATTTTGATATGGGCTATAATGGCAACCGTATATTTTAAAAATCTTTCTCACATTTTGGTTTTAGAGTAGTGAGAGATCCGAAATTATGTCAACAGCAAACGGATGGAGCTCGCAAACGGATGACTGCATTTTTTATTTATAATTACAAATTGGATCGGTTCTTGTGATTCAATAAAATTTATTTTTTGAACGTTAACGAATACATTGTGAAAATTTCAAGTCCATTGATCTTACCTGTTGGTAAAAATAACCTTGAAAACAGCCTTCCATATGTAATTTCCCCCTTAAAAACGATTCTCTTATTCTAGCAAGCAATTGTCATCGCTTTCTATTATCTTTCGCCAATTTTCTATAGATGTAGAATAATAAATAATTTTTAAAAAAATTGCTCCCATTTTTCTGTCGCGAATCCATCAAAAAACCATCAAAACTCTTGCATTTATTCAATACAACTATATGCGTGAGACGAAAGAAAATTGGGCGCTCGGATCAATTCTAGGAGTTAACCTCTCTCGACTCATCCGTACCGCACTTTAAATACGCGGCGCACGGGACCACTTTCTCAATTTTCTCCCTCCTGTTCAGAATATAATGCGCTAGACGAGTGTAATCCGCCGCTTCGCATTCCGATGTGCATCCACGCGCGAGTTGCGGAAAATATGTCTACCATTTTAACGCATTAACATTTAGCCGGACGAGTTGGGCAAAACGTAGCCGCGTATATGCGCGGGGCGCATATAAGAGAAAGAAATTTCGGACGGTAATGATGTTAATGTTTCGTCTCGCGAGCAACATTTACGCCGCAATTAATGGAATTACGCAAAAGTTTCATCTCGGCTTAAGCTCGCCGCGAGTGTACGTGTTTAATGCGTGTGCCTGTACGTGTGCGTGCGTGCGTGCGTGCGTGTGTGTGTGTGTGTGTATGTGTGTGTGTGTGTGTGTGTGTGTGTACGTACAAGCGCGATCATTATCCAACGTGGGATTAAACCCGTTCGTCGTGACGTTCGCAGCATGAATTCATCGGTTAAAAGCGGGATGGAAAAGAGAGGGAGGGGGATAACGTCTGTACGTACATTAATACGTTGCAAGTAATATCCGGCTATTTTCTTCCGTCCGCCAATAATAATCGTTTTAATTACATGACGCGTTCGATTGCTCGCACGTTACGCAGCGCCACGCGACCCACGACACGTGAAATAACGATTATAAATTTCGCGCGTAATAACTATAGCCCGCGAATTAATTACGCATTCCCATGGCGCGACGACATACGGATGGCGACGTAATTACTGTATGATCGGATTCGAAATGGCTAACGAATTACAACGTCGGATTATGCGATCCTCACCTCTCTCCCGCCCCGGCTCTTGCCTTTCATCCGTAGTGGTTTGGTTATCGTTATTATTGATCTACGACTATTTCCCCCTGCGGGAACTGATGAACAGGGGGGGGAGGAGGGGCGCGAGGGCAGCTCATTGGGATGCACGCGCGAAATGGTCCAAGAGTGAACTGTAAAGAGCGTGCCGAGTGCATAAACATAATGTGCCCGTCGCGGTTTACATGCGGTATACAGCGGTGTACAGCGAGGGTGAGAGTCGGATAACACAGGAATGGCGGATATCGACATCGCGGATTCCACGGCGGACAATCGCACGCGGACTGGTCAAAACGCGCGACATTCGTTTCGCGTCCGTCGAACGCGCACGAGGCAATCAGGCTGATGAGGCGAACATGTACGGGGAGGAGGGGGGTGTACGTACCATGTGTACATCGTGTACGCGGGCTTCTTTCCCGGGAAAATGTGTGGGTTTATGCGTGTACGCGTGTATGCGTGTATGCGCATCGTTCATATTAATCGCGGTTTCGATACCCATTTTGATGTCGCTTTAGACGGGAGTATCGACTCGAGTCGCGTTCTTTAAGCTTCTTCGGGCGAAATTCCATTCGAAAAGTACAGAATAGAAGAATCGTACTAAATAGTTTACGTTATGTAATTTAACACACGCTAAGAATATACTCGTAGTCATCAACGATTATTTGTTGCCAATATTTGTTGCTGAAAGATGCAGAGAGAGAGAGAGAGAGAGAGAGAGAGAGAGAGAGAGAGAGAGAGAGAGAGAGAGAGAGAGAGAGAGAGAGAGACTAAAAAAGAATTTATCGATTTCCTTTGTTGTATAGGTATTCGGAAGAAAATGAGTATATATCATCCACGTCAAAAATGATGGCTCAATTCTGTATTAAATGTTGTCTGTTGCTTACTACGATTTATTTACTTAGCACTGTGTACATAATTAACGTAAAGTAGATGCAATTAATCGATACACTAATTAGATACAGTGATCAGTGATCGACAGAATTTAGTAAACATCAGACATCATATGTACCATAATATGTAACGTCATAATGTAATATTGATGAAATTGTATTAAAGCTGAGACATACAAAGCTTGTGTGTTTTAATATAAACAGAAATAATCTCTTATATTTTTATTAACATTTCACACAACACCGTAACGCGTAGTCGTCCTCCGACCGCAGTAAACGTTTTTTCGGACAACGACTATTATTGCCCCTATGTCGATGCAGTCGATATTTCTCGTTTAGTAAGCCTTTGTTCGTATAAAACATGCTGTCATATTTGTCGCACACTTATTACCATTCCCAGCTATATTCGTGCCGAATACAATAATTGACGAGATATAAATTGATATCGTAACGGAATACCAAAATAAACAAAGAGAAATAATAGCGTTATTTTTTTGCATACTGGATGATTGTTGCGGATCAACTATCGTTGGCAAATTATGCTATACCTAAACAAAACCAAAATTGCAAAAATCAAAGCGGACAATTCCGAATAAAAATATAAAAGAGGAAACGAGAAATTTCCAATATGAAAAAAATAAATACCAGATTTATCGTGACAATTCGTTTACAAAATTAGCAAAAAAACAGTTAGCAATTAATTTCGTGAATATTTAACTGTAACATTTAACTGTAACATCGTGCAATCAATTGTATATAATAATATTACAAGAATTAAAAAAAATGCGTTTGAGTTCCTTTGAATTTATAATATTTAATAGAAACGCGATTTATAATATATTTAGAAGCGCGTGACGAGTGAATAAAGTTATTATATATAATATATGTAACCATATATAATAACCATATATAATATATGTAAACATATAATATATTTAATTTGACACTAGATATTTTTTCCAATATCTTATAATAATACCATTATGTATTTAATTTAACATAATTTCAAATTTTGAGATTTAACAATTCATATTTCACTCATTAATTTGTTATCTTTATTATATAAAATGAATGAAATATATACATATATATATACATATATATATACATATATATATATATATATATATATAATGAAAAATGTGACTCACCATAATTATGCGTGGAACATGAGCTGCAAATTGACCTGTAAAATTAAATTAAAGTTGCTTCAATTCAAAGTTACAATTTTGAATTGTATTATAAACATACAAGAAATCAAGTTTTGTCGGGTGTCAATTAAAACAATTAAAATAATATTTCTCCCAAACGTTATTTACGCACATTGAACACGGTGAAATTACAATTTTCATAATACTTGGTAGAAAGAAACACACATTTGCCATATTTCAATGAATCGTTACAGCTTCCTATCGTTTTACATTCGCTCGACAGAAAAACTTGAGGTTATACGCGTATGAAATATATCTTTGTATCGACAACTTTACCTAACCTAACCTAACCTAACAAGTGTAGAATGTAACGACGACGCTTAAATCACAGCGAGTCATAAGTCGGTGATTAATCGCGAAAAGTGTCAATAGAGTCAATAAAGATATTTACTTATCAATGCGTCGATCATCACTGTCGTCATCGGTCGTTGTCTGCTTGTAATTATTCTGTTGTTCCGGACATTCGCGCGCACGGACGCGAATCGATCCGGAAAAATTTCGGCTAATTGCGATCGCACGCGTTAATTACTAACCGCGCTGCGACAAGCACTTCGCACGGCACTCCCGATACTCGTTACATCCATCTCGAACAGGCGAACAATGCGGGACGCACGCAACTCGTCTCTGCGAACGCGGGCGGTGTTGTTAATGTTCGTTAGGCGAGCTCGAGCACTCCGACCGGTGAAAAACTCGAACTACATCGACAACTTCAGTCCGAACATGGCGGCAACAGACGTTGCAGTCGTCGACGCGAAGCGCGAAGGAACATCCTCCGAAATTAGGTAATCAATTGTTATTAACATTATTGTTATTGATATCGAGTATTTTAATATTGATTCGACACTGTCGGTCCAACTTATGCACGTGTGATCGAAGTCGTTCGCGATTGAAGTCGTGCGCAATGCGAGGCGATTATCTCTCGATCGACAGAGAAGTTAACCTAAACGCGGGCCGCCGCTAGTTCGCTCAAATTCAATGGAGTAAAGATCATCGAAAACTTTCTATCCTTCCCGAATACTTTTACGTGTCGTTACTGTTGATTATTCGAGAACACACGACGACAATGGTTGCGTTCAGAAAACAAAGCGCTCATTGAACGATTAGATCCTTACATTCTGATACGTTATCGCATTATCGCTCAGTCGTTATGCAACTGTTGTGTTTTCTGAACGCAGCCAATATTTCGAGAAGCACGCTTGTCACATCATGAATTTCACATTCAGATGATCAGCGGATGACAGTACTGACAAATTCGTGGGAAACAAAATAGACGAAAAGATCTTGCGAACATGTACGCAGCGCGTATTACGATACGTATATCGCGCGTTTTTGCCATGTATAACTCGGGTGGTGGTAATAATGAGAAATTTCGCGTGATACATCGCGCCTACATCTTCTCATCGCGCACAGGAATTTCGCTCGCGATCGCTCGTCGAGTGAGAGCGTCGGTGGTTCTTTTTTCCCGGGCGTCACCACGCTGCGTGTCGAGAGGTTAAAGCCGCGCATACCGTTTCTTCGCGGCGTTAGCAGCAAGTAGCATTGTGAAACTTCGTTTACATCGAGAAATATCGATTTTAAGTACTCTTCTCTGCGTGTTCGTTTCATTGCGTCAAAATAATGGGAACGCGCATATATCGCCTCTTCTAGATTTTCCTCTCGCACATCTCGCGTACTCTTGTCAAGTCACGGAATATTTACGTTCGGGGGTATCACTCGCTGCAAGCACGCGCTATCGTCGAAGTTCGTTTACGTTTCGGTCTGACCGGGAAACTTGCCATTATGCAATCCTCTCGGCTGAATTATCTGGAATTTATTCTGTTTCGAGTTTCGAGACTTAGAAACTATGCCGGAGGGGACGACGGAGATATACTATTACATGCAATAGTCGGCTTACTTGTTATCATTAGAACTGCTTAGTGGAGCATAATGAAGAAGCGAGAGTTGAGTATGAGTTGGATCCTGTCTATCCTGCGGAAATGTTTTTTCCGCCGGAACTACATTGCGAACTGACAGACGGTTGAAATTCGACTTTTTCTTTTGTCGAATTTTTCTTTAGTACGCTTGTGTGTCTCCACGCATCGTGCTGATTCGAAGCGAACATTACTTCGACGCATAAACAATAAAAATTAAATATAACAAGATCTCTTGAAGATCTTGCGATAAAAGAGCGCGATCTGAGAGTGCCTTCGAACGAGAGATCCTCCGTCTTATATTGTGTTTAAGATATTATGAAAAAGTATAATCTAAAGTTTCCGAGTTGATTTTTGCGTGCATTTTGGGAAGTGAAATTATTTCTCTCCACCGACGTCAATGTTCTTTATAAATATCTTTTGACAATAACTGGCTCTCCTGACAAGTCAAGAATGGTCTGTTATGTTTCCTACATTGACTTGAGCAACGAGCACAGAGCTCGGACAAAGACAAGACGCATTATCGATTAGCTGTCGCATATTATTGGCCGAATATGTATCGGTCATGTCTAAAGATGTGACCTTTGCCGACGTACTGAAGTTAAACTGGCGATCGGTCGGCCTAATGGGTTAAACCGTGAACTATTGATTGCCGCAAATATTGCAAAATGCTCATTATATAATAAATCAAGTTCTGTGCATTCCTTGGTTATTCAAAATCTTTTTATAGAATAAATGGAGTGTCGTCCCCTTAGATTGGTCATCTGTGCAAGAAATTAGAGTTTGAAACGTTCAATTTGAGTCATGGCTATGAGTCCGGAGATACCCGCTAACAAAAACGCGACACAGAATCCGTGAACAGAACTTTTCTCTCACGACCAAAGTCACTCTCAGGCGAGTCGCATGCTGAGGACAATGATCGTCGCTCTCGTGGAGCGGAATTCACGCGGATAGGGCACGGACGATTTTCGATTCGCGTGTAATACGGCGTATAACACCCATCGACCGTAACGCTTCTCCCGCGTTCTTGAATTTAGGCCGCGAACCGACTCGATCTTTCTCCGTCGTCGTTCTCTGCCGAGCATAAATTACATAGTCGCTACGCGAGTGGTTTGCCGACGAGAAGCTTGAGTCAGCGTATCAGAAACAATCGACGCATCGTAAACTTGCGAAGGCGTCACCAGCTGTTCCACATTAATGACGCACTGTTCAAACGACAGCGCGTGCTGTCGTCAGCAGCAGTCAAGAGACGGCTGCCAAATTAGCACGCAAATTCGCACAGTTGCGTCTGAAATTGAAAAAGTTCCCTCTCCCTCGGTGGAGTCGGTAGATTTACGTGAAGATTCGCTAGATAAATTTTGCGAGAGCCCAACGCTTCAAAGCCCACATCGTTTATTCTCTTCTAGTCGGTTTTGTGAGCCGCCATTACTACGCTGTGGGGAATAAGAATCCATGGGCTGCTTTCTACGACCCTTACCTACGTGACCGCACTTTTTTTTATGGGTGTGGCCAGACCGAAGCAAAACGATGCAGATCTGTCCCACTGTTCGCAGTCGGAGTGAAGAGCCTTGAGCTCGTACGATCCCGAGAAGGACCACTTGGGCATTATTATGAAGGACGATGTGACCGTCCTGCCGTGAACGGAACTTAATAAGAGCGCCTAGTTTACGGACACTACTTCGGTCTGTACTTAGTGAACTTCCCCATTCAGCTTCCATCCCATCACTACAAACTTCTCTATAATGCGATCAAATCTTTCCATTCATTAAATGTTGTCACTTAGACTGTCACGTTGCAAACTAGAAACCTAGAAAACTAGAAAACGAATAACTTTCAGCTGCCGCGGTGTGACACGGTTGCTCTTGTGCGAGACAAATTTTTTAATGAGTCTATATATATTTGTCGTGAAGACGCTACTGCCAGCTTGTCTGCGTCAGTCCGAGGCGAAACAGCACGCGCGCTTAGACCGTTGTGTACTTCATACGTGATTGCGCGTGCATAAATCACTTAGCACTAATTTAATTCACCACGACGATCGTCGCGGTCGGCATTCTCTCTCTCTCTCTCTCTCTCTCTCTCTCTCTCTCTCTCTCTCTCTAATTGGAAGATACGTGGGCGCACGTCGGATCCCGTCGCCGCTTCCCCACAACGCAAGCTGACACGGGGCCGTTTTTTACGTGCAAAATCAATTCCGTAGTGATGAAACGTGGCAAGACGTGGCAGCCCGGCAAGGCGAGTCGCCGCACGAGCGAAATAAAAACTGGCTGTCATCACGCGCGCTGCGCCGATCGGTGACGCGTCGAGCATCGTAATAAAACTGCAACCGCCACTATCGGCTATTTCGAGCGTAACATCGGGATAACAACGGCCGGCCACTGTCACGTAAGTTAATGCGATTAATACATCCATCGCTCCGCCGTCCGAACGATATTCCCAATGCTCAATTAGGCACGCGATGCGTCTCTCACGAGGTGAATAATGCACGATGCATCGATCGCGCTACTCTGTCGTATAATCAATCTTACCACGGCTCCATAATCGTTGATTTTTTACACGTTTTCACACGCGGTTACCCGCAAATCGCGATTCGGATTTTGTTAGCAACTTGGAAACCTGCACTACCAGCACATCGCATTCCCTTCGCCATCCCTTCGCCTCGGAAAGAACACAACTTGAACGTATTTTTCGTTTTCTCTTCAGATGGGGATAAGTTTCAATGGCCTCCGCGAAACGCAACTAAGCCCCGTGTTATTGGTAAGTTGTATTTCACTCAGTTTGTATGCGATGGCGATTTTCGACGTACAAATTATCGTGCAATACCGTTCGCTTTATCATCGAATCGAAATGTGCACACTGCACAGTGTATCATATTTTCTCGATTCTATTTCGCTTTTATGGATGCTTTTCGCTTTCAGCACATGTATTGCCTATTATGTAATTCTCTTTAAACATAATACCAGCATCGTTCAACAATTTCATCTTTTTGATCGTGTCCAAAGGGAGGGTTAAAAAATGTTAACAATTTAATTATTTCTCACAGTAAAACGTGTAAGTTATTATTATTT